ATATATAGACTTTTTATGGTTTTTCAAGTAGGTATTAGTAACATTTTCCAGTGTAACACATAACAGCTTTAACACATGTGAACGACGTTGGGCAACCAAACATACACAAAAACATTTTTAACTTAAAAATAGACTTTTTATTGTTTTACAAGCGTTAATAATGTTTTCCAATATGAAACTTAACAGATTTAACACATCTGAGTAACGCTAGGCAACCAAACATACAAAAAAACATTTTTAACTTTAATTATCGACTTTTTATCGTTTATTATGATGTTGGAGGCAATAGCAATAGCAATAGACATTACGTGCGTTGGCAAATAATTAAACGCCATTGTCCAATTTGCAATTTGCAATAAAAGCGACGCCGGACGTTATCATCGGCGGCAATCGGCGTCCATCCACCAACACGTAACCCTTCCGCGAGCGAACGCGCTGGCGTTCCCAGCGGGATACTCTTCAAATAGTGTTTTATTATTGCAGATAACGCGATTATACGCGTACGAACGACACGAAACGATTTCGCAAAGTATTAAACGGTCGCGCTCGATATCGTTTGTTTTGCGATGCGTGGCACCCGCTGTTTTTTCTGTTTTTAATTCGGTGCCCCAGCCGCCATTAATATGTGTCGTATGACGCCTGCCAGCGGCGCGTCCATCGGGGCGCAAAGCTCAAAAGCCCAAAAGCACGCCTAATTTCCAATTGCTGGACGTGTAATTTAAACCCATGGCGATTATCTCGTCTGGAAAATAAAAATAAAAATTCTAACCTTAAAATGTTTATTTTTTTCGTGTTTTATTGATGTGTAATGGAAATAAAACTTTTTTCTTATTTTTAAATTTTTTGTCCTTTGCGATCGACGAGAGGACATTTCGTATTCGCGATGGTCGCCAGAGCGCTTTCCTGCGGTGCCGGTCAATCAGGCATTGTCTCGACGCCATTGTCCTTTTAATCACGTACGATTCGTAAATTCGGGGCTCCGGACGCGACCGAATAAAACGCAAAGCAAAGCGAGAAGCGCACGTCCCGAACACGGCCACTACCCACTCGACAAACAATATTCGCGTCGTACTCGTATTTGCACTCACGTCGGATCGCGAAATGAATCGAAGGGGAGAGTTATATTTGTATTTTTATTTTAATGCCCCAACCCCCAACTCCCGGCGCATCCACCAAATTTTTTTCTGCGTCTGCACCTGAAAACTGAAATTTAAAATTTTAATTTAGTTAATTGTATTTAAAACACAGATTAATTGGATTTACAAATCAATGTCCACGTAATTTATTGCGGATTATCCGTGGACCGTGGATTAACAAGGAATTTACGTTGGAAAGTATTTTGAGGTTAGGTTTGTGTCCAAATCTAATTTCTTTCATTGTTGCAATTGTTCAAAGTTCCAATAGAAGTAAATAACAAGCAAGTGGAAGCACACAGAGTTCAAGTTAAATTAAAGACTTGAACACAAGAGCTACATACGAGTTTACGACCGCGAAATAAGAAACACCGGAGAGGCTGGGCCCTGGAAAAGCTCTGGAAAGCTCACAATGGCGGAATTGCCGCAAGTGGAAAATGAAAGGATGTCGAATTGGGAATACTTTCATTGCATCCAAACTATGCTGCAATTGCAAATAACTACATTACTTTAACTTTAATATACAGGGTGTTTAAAATTTAGTTTTTAGGTTTTTTGAATTTATTTGTAAAAAATTCATTGATTTGGGTTTTTGGGGTGGGCGTAAAGTGCGGATGTTCCAATCAAGAGAACAATGCGACTGTTATAACGATGATTGTCCGAAAAACGAAGGCTGGTTCATCATGGGTGAAGTGAGGCGCGCAGGCCTTCAGCCTCGAGGGGTTTGCAGAGTGTTCGGACTTTTCGAGCCCGGGAGCTTGGGACTTCTTCATGTCCAGTTGAATAGACCCACGGTCTCAAGTGCTCAGCGCTCGGACGAAGGCGAGCCGCCGTTAATCGAACGTTTTCCACGTCCGCGTTTACCGTTAATGACCGTCGAGTGCGATTGCGAAATAATGACGTTAGCGACGCGCAATTAGTCAGGAACTATAATAACAACGCCTGCAATTGTACTCGACAAACTTCTAACAACTAGGGACATGCTTTGGTCAAGGAGGAATGGAGAAAATGCTTTGTAATGTTACAAATGGGAAAAAGTGAGGGAAAATATTTTTTTGTTAATTTTTGTCAATTACGGAAAAACTATTTTTTGGAACACCTTGAAATTTTTGATGACGGTTTTATATTAAATTATCTTTCGTTTGATATATAATTCAATATTTTACGGTTTTTATATCAAAAGATACAATGTTTTAAAAAAGAAGTCAGAGAAAAAGAACACAAAAATGGTTTTTCGTTAATTTTTGGTAATATTTTAAAAACTAATTTTTAAATATATTTGAAATTAATACCACAAATTCTACAATAAATTCTCTTTTAAATAATGTATAATTTAATATTATACGACTTTTCGATCAAAAGTTATAATCTGTTTAAAAATACCTAAACTAAAAAAATAGTTTTGCCAAAGTTTTGTAAATTTCTCAAAAATTACTTTTTATATAATTCTACAATTCAGTTTGGTGAATCTACAATAAATCCTCTTTCCAATGATGTATAATTTACCGTTTTACGATTTCAATGTCAAAAGTTATAACGTTATAAAAACAAACATGACAAGATAAACATTTTTTTCCTCATTTTCTATTTCCTCCCAAATGTTTACGGAATGACAATGGCTAAAACAATATCACTACCCAGCATGTCCATAAAAACAACAGCGACTGTCACCGATACAATGGAAGCGGAGTTTTCTTGCCGTCAGAGAAAGTTTTTCCCGGTCTGCGTCCGCCTCCCACGCAAAACGAAAGCAAAACGCGCAATCAAAGGCAATGAAAGACATATTTCGGATTTATGCCTCTCCATAATGCGCGCAGCCACGCCGACGACAATAACAGTAAGTGAAAACGTCGTCGGCCGGATATCGAGATTGAAGATTGCCACACACAAAGCCACACAGCGCAACAAGAAACTCGGCTGAGACAAAAGCCAGCGCAGACGGAGGACAAGACAGATGAACGGATGACATCGAGTGTGTTCTTATAAGATGGGATGAGATGAGATGTAATGACATGGGACGAGAGGGCAGAACCACCCCTCAAGTTGGCAGAAGTTAAGAATTCCATGACATGTGTGTAATATTTGTGTGTATTTTTATTGAAACACCTTGTATAACCATCAAAATTTTCATAATCATTGTCATTTGATGATTCTGAACAATATGAACATCTCAGAGATTAGTACAAGACTAGCAGTGTAACGAATCACTTTTATTTCCGGTTTTATCTTCTCATAACCTCACAATATCAATCTGTCACAGAAGCAAACAAAAGAACAACATTCCATAGTCCCCTTATTATTTTATTCTTTTTTTCTTGTTGAAATGTATCACATAACCTCAATTGTTATCATAACCTCAATTCATAACCTTCTATAACCTCAAAAAAATTAATTATTATTAGTTTCAAGATAAAGTAATCCTAATAAATTTATTTTTGTGGTTTGTAGAATTTAAGCATACAAGTTGTGTGCGTATATTTGAATATTTGCATATTTGTACAGGCTTAGAGAACATTCTTAAAACTTTAGGGTGATTCGACGCCGAGCGACTTGGGAAAATCCTATTTTTAATGCGGCGCGCACTCGTTTAGCCAAACATGCAGAACGCGAGCTTTCCCGATGCCCGGCATATAAATATGCTTAAATCTAGTCGAGCGTATATCGGGGGATGGTAATTGTGAGGATGAGGATACTCGAATGCTGTAGAACGAGGAAGATAATCTGGAATTATTGTTAAAGTTTTGAGGCGGAAAATTACGACTGAAAACGAAAACCTAAAATGTGTACAATAAATGTATTAATAAATAAATAAATAAATATTTTACTTTGCGCACTTAATTTATTATTGTATTTGCACCCTCGTTAAACTATAATTCACCCTTATTGCTTTTTATGCGTTTGCGGGTGTTTTTTCTTTTTATTTTTCTTCGCTTGGTGGTTGCGTGTCTAAAAAGTTGTACTTGTGGTTTTCCCGCAGCTTTGCCGACACCATGTCCGACTAATTGGAGCTTATTATTTTCGCTCCGGTGAAAAATAAGGGCGCGGGCGCGCTTAAAATGCGGTCTCGCGTCGAGGTCGCGCTTAATTGCCGACGATAAAATTTTATTGTTTCGCTTTAATGATCATAAACACCCGGCGGCGGCGAGCACGACTTTTCTATAATTTATACTTCCTAAGTGTTTTTCGGCGCGGGTGCTGCGGGAAAAAACACTACAGCGGAAGAGTGGGAAGCGTTTGCGAGCAGGAAATGTCGGAGAAAGGTCTTTAAAGGTATTAAAATTTTGTGTGTTATCTTAAAATCAAACAATAAGAGAAGACAAAGGCTGGAGGGTTTCGGGAAAAACAGCGACTGGGATTTTAATTGGTGGCAGAGAGTCAAGTGGTCGTTAATGTTTAAAAATAAAATGAATTTATTAAAATGTGAAATTGTTTTATTTATATTTTTGTTTGTATTTGGTAAACACTTGATTATTAATTAAAATTGCAACTCGTGCGTAATTTTATTTTAATTTATAAAATATATACACGTGTGGAGTGTTTTAAGTATTATTTACGTACTTGTGTTGATACTAATTATAAAAAAATGATTAAAATCAATAAACACTTATGAGTAATTTCATTTTTTGGCAACGCGTTTCAAGTGGGTATTTGGTCTGTGAAATTCAATAAGTACCCACTTTAGAATTAACAAAAATAATGCTAAAAATACAAAAATTTTAATTTTATCATACAATTGAGTTTAAAATGAACCAGAATAGAAATAAATGATTAAATAATTGATTAAACAATCAACAAACTATTAAGTACCTAAAATATGATAAAATCTCTACAACCACTTCAAATTTGAGTATATAAAGCCTTTGAAACTCACTGATAAATCATACCTTGTCAACACACCAACAACAAAACAATCATCACAATGAAAGTATTCGCCATCTTGGTCCTCTGCGCTCTTGCCGTAGTAAATGTCTCAGCAGACCAATGTCCCACAGGTGGAGACATCTACGGTAAACCCTCTACATCCACTAATTTTCTAATATTTTACTAATTTGTTAAATTTATTGCACAGAATGGGGCATTTCCGAACAAGGCAAGAGAGACGTCATCAACGAACACAACAAATACCGTCAGATGATCCTCAATGGCACCGTTCCCAACCAACCCCGCGGCAAGAACATCCACATGGTCAGCTTTGACGACAATTTGGCATGGGAAGGCAGGAAAGTCTCCGAGAACTGTGTGATGAACCACGTGATTGCATCCGATGGTAATATTAATATTTTATACTAAATATAATTAAATCATTTATTAATGTTATTGTTTTGTATATTAAAGATCGTTGGAGTTGGGTGGGTCAAAATCTGTACATCAGCTGGAGTAGTGCTCCTTCCGATGGTCAAGATTGGGCAGCGGCTTGCAGATCCTGGTACAACGAACACGAGAACTTCATTTATCCAAATCAATCCAATGGTGGTGTTACTGGTCATTACACTCAGGTACATTTTATACTTTCAATATTTATATTAATATCATAATAATGTTGATGATTTTGGTTGATAGCTGATCTGGGGCAAATCTGAATTGGTGGGTTGTGACTTTATTTCGTTCTACGACACCACCCAGCCTTCTTATCCATACGCCAAGTTGTACACTTGCAATTATGGACCAGGGTGAGTTAACTAACAAAATTTAATCATAAATTTAAATTAAACTAATTTGATTACTAATTGATTACAGTGGTAACTACAACAATGAAGCACCTTATGAACGAGCATAAATTACATCAAAATAATTTGTTTTAAAATTATATTTTCTTATAAATAAAAAAATTGTTTATTAAATTTTGCTTTTTTTGCTTCTAAAATATCCTAAACGAAATCCGTTAACCTTAAACATAACCTATAACTCAAAATGTTATGATTCGTCACACAATAGTCCATAAACTGCGCGTCGTAAACATTTCGCAAATATTGTTCGACATTAAACTAAATATTACGCATTTTTAACCATCGCGAAAGCGGCGATTCACATTCGACGCGACGTGTGCACGCATAACGTATAAATTTCGCATATATCACTCGCTTCCTTCGCCGGTATCGAACTGTCAAAAGCGAATTTATCACCCATGATACGCGTCACTTTTTATTGTCCGCGTGTTCACATGGCGCGCATTTTTTTACTAGCCATAGCGGCGAGAAATATAAAACGCATCACAAAGCAAAGAAAAGAGCGTAAGACCATAAGAAATACGAATGAACAAGGGGTCCAACCGTAGGCACACCCCATCGCAGGAGAGGAAAAGGAAAAAAGGCGTAAAAACCGCATAAACGCTTCTCTGCACTATGTCAAATCACGAATATTAAACACGAGGCTTAAACTTAAACTCCCCGGCCATTCCCTATTGTGCACTAGGCCCAAAATTGGGGTGAGGACAGTTAAGGCGCCCTTAAACTAGAACATTAAACGTTTTGTATTTTAATACCCTGTTGGCTCGCAATATGAGCAAGCATAAAACGTAAAATATTACACTTTATTCTGTTCTCCGATTGTTCTCATTCACATATCCAGTTACACTAGATTTTAGAGGTTAGAATGCCCAAGTTAGGGTTTGATATTTTTTACGATCCAATCGTAATACGTTGCGACGTTGGTATAAACTGACGGGATACCAGCGCCGCACATCTTACTTCCAAATGAGATAATCCCAGTTGCATAATAGATAAGATCATCTTCCTCAGAGTGTAGACCCATTAAGGGTCCACCGGAATCACCTGAGCAGGTATCCTGTAATCCTCCACCAGCGCATATTTGAGATTCGGCGATTTTATATGTTCGATTTTGGGAACAAATTTCGTTTTCTATTCGTGGTACCACGGCTTTCCTTTTGACTTTGTTTAGTGGGTTGTGTTTGGTACGGCCCCAACCGGCGATATCCAACTTGTTAGCTGATTTGAAGATGTCTTTTTGGATGTTTTCATTGGGGACACAAATTGGTTTAACAAAATCTAAAAATATTAAAATTTAATTTTTTTCTTTTTAAATTTTAAAACTTTACTTACCACTAAATGTTGGTTCTGATTTTAAGCGTATCAAAGCAATATCATGAAGTTTTTGAGGAGAATCCTTGACATAATCAGGGTGTTTTATAACTTCTTCAATTGCTATGAATTGTGGAGGATCCGCACATACAGGGGTTTTTGGTTTTGGCTCACAGTCAATTTTTGAATCTACATCGGTCTCACCAAGTGTAACCTCAACACTAAAATTCAAAATTTTTATTTTTTAATTTTTTCGAAATTTTTTTTGGAGAAAATTAACTTACGGTGCACCAAACTTCCCAACAACACAATGCGCAGCAGTTAAAACATATCTCTTATTAATTAACGCACCACCACAGCCATAACCAGCCCCACCTTCAGTTTGGAATTTCAACAGGGCCATCCATGGATACTCATCAATCTTAGCTAAATCCCCATGGATTATTTTATCTTCAAACGCTTGTATTCCACATTTTTTTGGAAAAGGAAAATCTTCATCACTTGATACTACACTTTCTAAAAATTTTCATTTTTTACATTTTATGGTTAATAAAATATATATTTACCTAGGCATGTAGCAAACAGCAAGACCAAAATGAAACTACAACACATTTTGCGACAGAGCCCGCTAGTTAACTGTTGTGTTCACGTATTTTACTGTTTTTTGCCCGGATCTGCTACCAGTAAACTAGTCAACCTTGAATTCCAAACGAGCAATGTACTTTGCACAACGTGAGATAAACCTAATAACAGCATACACGATTCTGCAAAGATTATCATGTTAACATGCTCATCTTGAACCTCAATGTCACGTTCGGTAAACAAAATTATTACGAATCGAGTGAAACTAAAATTAAACGCAAGACTATTTATTTTGACTTTAATACTGATGGTATGGACAAGCACAATGTTATTATTTCGTGAATTTATGTGATTTTCTTGCTTGTGGAGCATCACCTTTTTCACCTTTATCCACTGATTTGGATTTAGCTGCTACGGTAGCTCCGGAACAACGTATACCTTCAAGTAGATCAGAAATAGCAGGACCTTTCATCATTTGATCACCTGATGTTCTCATTTTATCAAAAATCGCATACTTTTTCTCGTCTTGACTACGCAGGGTACCATTAACTTTCATAGAGAAGTAAATATGTTCCAGGAGACCATTATTCCTCACCAGGAAGTCTCTCTGAGTTAATCTTTGTAATCTTTCGTTTTCTTCTGCTTCGACTATGACCTGAGGTTCGAAAGAATTCAAACCTACACCCGATGTGTAAGGTCTTATCCGGATCATCTTACTGGTGTCGGATACATGTGATGATATGGCATTAGGCAGAGGAGGTGATCCCCCTCGGTAGGGTTTTGTAGGTGGGCGAAGGTTAACCATTCGTTTCTCTGCTTCCAACTTAGCTTTTGTTAACATTTCTTCCCGCATGAGATTCTGGGCTGTAATTCTAGCTTTAGTTGCTTGTGTGGTTGCATAAATACTACTAACACCTTGATGGTAGAATTTATCATAGGTATGGTCATTAGTAGGAAACACAAGCCGGAAATCCCCGCGGTTGATCATCTCGTGTTTATAATATTCACTAAAGTTTGGTAGACCTAGTGATGGGTTATTAGAAAGACCATCTTTGCTTGTGCTTAAACCCTGGAGGCGTTCCCGGATCTTCTTCCGGTCTTCCCGGATGATTTTCTTTTTATCACACCGTTCTAAATTCATCATGGCAAACATATCCGTCAATAAAGACTCTTTAACCTCACAATCTAGTTCAGTATCAGTATGAAAACTTGGTGAGTGGTTAACCTCTAATAATTGCGGGTTTAACTTCCGGTCCAAAATGATATCCACTCCCAGAAGTTCACAACAAGCAGGGATTACATCATGATTAGGAAAACATGCGACATAACTATGTTTCAAGATAGGATACGCACTGATGACTGTCTTAATAATAACCTCATCAATACTCCTCCATAGCTTATCAACATCATAACCTAAATTCTTGAGGAAAGCGTTCAACCAAGTCAACTTCCGTTTACTACCTGCTTCTGTATCTTGATTGTAGGTACGGCTATGTTTGTTTACTGCGTAATTGGTGAGATGCATGAATATATTGGATACATTCACACTAGTGGGTTCCTTGTACCTTGAGGTTGCGAAACGGACCAAACCCTCACGATACACGTAGATTCTTAAGGGATCACAGGAAGATATCAAAGTATAAACTCGTAGATCAAATTTATATCCATCAATAAGAAAAGGACGTGAGAGGTAAACTTGACAGATGCTTCTTTCAGTAGGGTTCACGTCTTTGAGACACTTGGTTAGGACAATACCTTTACCTTGACTTCCTGCATCTGGTTTTATGATATAGGTTTTGTTTTTTCTGCTTCTGTTGTAAGCTAAAGCATCACCTAAATCTGCTGGTAAACACCAGGTTTTGGGGAAGAAGTTGTAGTCTTTTGGGAATAACCTTTGCATGCGGTTGAGGTTCCTGGCAAGTAGGTCTTTCCGACAGATTTCTAACATACCAGGAAAATGGTTGATTTTTTGATAACGTTTCATATCCTTACATCTTTCTACGGATATAGACCAATCTGTCCAGTATAGATTCCAGTTGTCTGCGTCTCCAGAGTCTTTGTACCCAAACTGGGCGGTGATTTTACGTATGACGTCATAACGGCAGTTTGCCAAATTTACGCTTATAGACCGTTTCTTCTTCTTCTTTTGTGCGGAATCAGTGTGGTCATCACCATGTCTCCGCGCAACCATACGTGCATATGGTGTGCACTCATGATTAGTTGACTTAGTAGTATTGGTAAGAGATGGTTTCAAAGAGGGTTTCTCTTCTGATGATGAGGATCCGCTCGAGCTGGACGAGTCACTAACCATCATTTAATTTATTAATTTATGATCTTGTGCGTTTATGTACGAATTTATGTTTTTGGGGAATGATATTACTAGTTGAAAGGAAATATGTTGGAAATTTACGCTTGCAATTTCGGTTGAAATTTTGACACGTTTATGTCAGAAAAATTTCTTTGTCAAAAGTAAAAAACGTCATTTAATTATATTCTATTTTAAAACATTTATAATATTAGTATACGGTTTTATAAATCCAGTCGATATAAGGTGGTACCCATGTGTAAACACCTGGTATACCAGCGTTACCACAGCCGTTCTTCAAAGACCAACTCACAACACCCACCAATTTCCAATGTTCAGCTTGTATGTCAAGATAAAACAAAGGACCTCCTGAATCGCCGAAACATGCATCTTTTCCTGGTACACCACCAGCACAGATCATTTTGTTGGTTATTTTCTTTCCTTGGGCGATAGAACAATTATCTCTGCTTACAATTGGTAAAAAAACATCTCTCTTCAAAGGAGATTCTGATTCTAAAAAAATAAAATAATAAAAATCAATTTTTAAGGTTATAATAACTTACCTTCTTCAGTTCGACCCCATCCGGTAACAACAACCTTAGTACCAACTTCTAAATCTTTCATATTTTTTGGTGGAAGACAAATAGGCGCCACATAATCATTAAATTCTACATCCCGGTCTAATCTCAAGAGAGCAATATCATCCTCTCGATTTGCCGCGTGCCATTCACTTGGTAAACTTATTTTCTCAATTTTTATCTTCAAAGGTTTCGGAGCACATTCTATGTGCTTCTCATCATAATACTCACAATCTGTATCATTCCTAGTATCATACTCTCCAAGCACTACATAATCCAAACTCTTCAATATGCAATGTGCTGCTGTAAGGACATACCTCTTACTTATCAAGCTACCACCACATTTGGAAACCCATGTGTTTCCTTTCCGGTAATAAAGTAATGCAGTCCATGGATATTCATCTATATTAGTAACAACACCTCCATATAATCTTCGTTCAATTCCAGTGTCACATTCAGTGGCATTCGGGAATAATTTTTGTTTAGATAATAATTCATGATGATTAGAAGCATCTCTAGTTTCAATCTCGGATGTTTCATCATTAGGTAACTCCACAGTAATAGGACACCACACCTTCTCAATCATATGGTCAAACCCACAATGCGCAGCACGTACGGCATCATACTCACTGTGACTCGGACGTGATTGAAGTAGTTTATCATAAATTGGACATTCAGTCACGCGAATACACTCAATACGTTGAACGTGGTATTTACACTCGACATGGTACGTCACCAACGACAACACCACCACCACAAGCAGCGAGTACATTCCGACGGCAAGGTCTGCGACTATCTAACTGTAGACAACCGAATACGAATGCTTATAACTAATGATGAGGTCGTAATTCGTTGAGAGATTATAGACTACGAGCATCAAATGAATGGGAAGCACGCTATGCAAATGAGACAATGAATCATTTATTTCTGTATACATTAATTTATAAATTCTCATTGATCCAGTCGAGGTATGCGTTCACTTTGGTGTAAACACCCGGCCAGCCTTTTGTGCCGCAGGTGGTGCCGAAACTAACAATACCTTCGATGTACCATTGTTCTGAGTTGTCGTTGTAGACTGTCATTAGTGGTCCACCACTATCTCCAGTGCAGGAATCTCGGCCTTGAACTCCACCAGCGCAGATTTGGGTATCGCGGATGTTTGCACCTGCTTTACGGAATACCTGACGACAGTATCTTTTTGTGGTCATGGGTACCCGGAGTTTTAGTTTTACAGCGCTGGCGCTTGCTGATTCGGTACGTCCCCAACCTGCGACGGTTAGGTGTTTACCAACTGGTGTTGTGTCGTAAATAGATGGCAGGCAAATTGGTCTGATGTAAACTGTAATTAAGATTATGTTATGTTTAAATATAGGTTATGGGTAATTAGTGTTTAGTAGTTACCGGTGTAGGAAATGTCTCGATCAAGACGTAGTAAAGCAATGTCATTGGGTTTCTCTTTGCGTGTTTCGTCGAATTGCGCATGAGCTGTAGCTCTTTCTATTCCTACATCCAGGGGTGGATCAGTACATTCCACATAGTTCCCGTAACGGAAACAGTCTCTTTCTTCTAGGATATTGTATTCTCCTAACCTCACTCCAGTTCTATTTTTAAAGAAATAAATCAAATTAATTTAATAAATATTTTTTGAAAGTGAACATAACCTACAATCTATGCGTTTTTTCAATTTCTCCAACAACACAATGTGCAGCTGTTAGAACATATCTGTTTCCGATGAGACTACCTCCACAGAGGAATTTTTTAGAACCATCTGATCTTCTTTTGTATTGGAGTAAAGCCATCCAAGGAAATTCATCCATATTCGCCACGATTCCATTGAGGATTTTGTCTTGATCCTATCAAAAATATGATAAAAATAAGATTACATTTTTTTAACCTCAAAAAGCTAAATATTACCATATATCCACATTCATGTCTTCCTGCAAGTTGGGATCTGCTTCCATATATTCTACCATCATCTCCTCCACCAAATCTTGAACCAAGATGAATTTCTGTATCTTCTCCTGTACGAGTGGAAATGTTAACTGTACGATTCCTCTGTTCAATAGGTTGATGTTCAGCATCATAATCAGCATCTTCACCACAACAAACAAGTGGAATCTCTTCATGTACACCACAATCAGAAGCACGCAGAAAATCAATTGTCGATTGTTTCGAACTCGTCAACTGGTCATATAAAACGCGGCAGTCGTAAATCGAAATACATCGCGCTGATTTATCATTCGGGGTTTTACATGACGCATTAGCTATATTAACAAATGATAAACAAAGTGATAAATTTTATAAAGTGGTATAATTTATATAATTTATATAATTTAAAACACATTGTTTCTTTTAATCGTAAAATCTACTCACGTTCTAATGCACTTTCCGTTTCATCACTCTCCGAGTAACAACCAACAACGCAAATTATGTATACAAGTAAAAACGCGTTTACTTTCATGATTAAAATTCTTGTTCTGCAGGTTTTGATGTCTGAAGTGCGTCTGAGTTTTCGATCGACTTTACTTACAACCGACAGCTTTGCCACATCCTCTCCAAGAATTGTATTATTTGTTGTTTTAGTGCTTATTTAGTGGTTTTATAGTTTTGGTCAAACCAGTTTCCGCTCGGAATGAGTGTAATAAATCAGGCTATGATCTAATTACATAAAAAAATCAAAAAAATATAAAATTTCCATTCAAAACTTAAATATTTCAAGTTAAAACATTGCGAATATTTAATTTAAATAGAAAATATTCTCTTTTAAATAAAATAATTTTAATTTTAAAATATTTTTATTTATAATATTAAATCCGGTCCTGAACAATTTGTAACTTATATTAGAATTACTGGGAATTACCATCAACAGCGTATAATCCTGTTAATTAACGATAATGTGATATTAATTGACGCAAATCAAGTAGCACAGTTAAATCTGGTCTAATCGTTTGCAATACATTTACAAAAACAATCAATTATTGATATTAATTCATAGAAACTATTTATTAAACATATATAATCATATTTGTTCGTTTCACGTGCGTACCCTACTCTTTTATATCTTTGGCATTTTATAGGTTATGTTACATTCTAAGATCCTGTGGATTTCTTGTTTTCTTGATTAATTTGTTTTTGGCTTGTGTTAGTCTCTTCACAATGGCCTTTTTGATCCATGGCACATACGTAGGAATATTTGTATAAACTCCTGGTACACCTTCCTGACCACACCCAATACCAAAACTGACAATACCCTCCGCATACCAAGTGTTGTTACTTTCCACCATTAATGGCCCACCGGAATCTCCAGTGCATGTGTCTTTATTCTTCAATCCACCAGCGCACAGCTGGTTTTTCTTCTTTAGCAACACTCCACGTTTCTTGTAAACATTCACGCATTGGTTCAGTGGGAAGCGGTCAAGGTCTAGTTTCATTTTTATGTTGCTTTCTTCGAGTGTTTCCGTGCGTCCCCAGCCTGAGACAGTGAAGAGATCGATTTCGCTGGGTTTATGCATGAGACAAATCGGAGCAACAAAATCTAGAAATATTAATTTATTAAATTTTATAGTAATTATGTGATTATATAAATACTCGTACTTGTAAATTCCGCTGGGGTTTGAAGTTGAATCAATGCTATATCATTGTTGTGATTTCCAGTGGTTGTGTCATATCCGGTATAAACCATTGGTTTTGTAACGCGGTGTTTTTGTGGTTGTGGTGCGCATCTTTTCTTTGCACGATCGGAGCAATCAATTTCAGTGGAACTATCGTGATCACCAAGAACTATTTCGAAACTAAACACACAATAATTATTTAATTAATTCTAGTAAATTTAATTTTTTTACTTCCACTTTTCATGCGCTAGTTTTTTTTACTGTTTTGGAACACAAAAAGTGGTACTTTAAACACGGAAAGCCAAACCTGTGACTAAAGTACTTTAGTCACGGACTTTAGCCACGGAGTGGAGCGTAACCGTTACGTGGTTAAAATTCGCTCTTAATAAATCTCATGACTAAATCTCCCGTTTAACCACTTGGTACTATATCTTATTTTACTTACATAGGTCCTAAAATTCTTAATAACTTTTCATTCATACAATGTGCAGCAGTGAGAGCAAAACGTTCGTGGATCAAAAAAGCTGAACATCCATAAGATACTGCACCATGTGAATCACGATGGATCAATCGACCCATCCAAGGAAATTCACCAATGGCGGCGTTTACTCCCCCGAAAATTCTTTGACTAAACGAAAGAAGTTTTTGTTTACCACAATTTGATGGTAATGGGTATGTGGCAGAAAATTCTTCTTCAATGTTATGTTGTTGTTTAGCTGAAATTTAAGACTAAATCATGTTTTTTTCTAAATATAAAAAAAAAACTTACGAATCTGCGAATTAAAATTTAGTTTTGATCCACAACACACTTTAATGAATTTAGCATTTCTTGGTGTACAATTGGAAGCTTTGAAGAAATCATACGCAGAATGTTGTGGAGTGATATTTTCTTTCGCAAAAATTGGACATTTTGCTAATTCCAGACACATTCCTCTTTCTCCATTAGGCGTTATGCATTCTGTTGCAAATCCTGCGATTATTTTTAGTTTCAAAAATGATTTAAATTAATTATATTTTTTACTTACGTGCTGTTACCGTTGCATTTTCAGTTAAATGTGTCAAGTCCAACGCATGTGTTTGCAAACAAAAATATATTAAACAAAGAAACGTTGCATGCTTTAAGTTGTACATGTTGAGTCTGAGAATTCTGAAACTATGTTGGTGTTTTCATGCGAAATGCTCGTGGACTGAGCTTCGATGGTGTTTACTTGTCACGGCTATCAGCGTCAACTGACCTCGGTCCTACGAGTTCTCACTTTACAAAATTCTCTGCCCCACACGGTCGTAATCAGTAAGTAATCGGAAACAGTTTATGTAAACGTAGAAATAGAAATAAATTTAATTAAAAAAAATTAAAAATTAAAATAAAAATTTTAAAAAATTAATAAAAAGAAAAAAGAGAATAATTTGGGTATTTAGCGATATTTAATGTTTAAAAAACTTTAAATAGTAATTTAATCAGTTGTTTTTAACATTGAACAAGAGCCAAGGTCAATAAATCGATAAAATGCGGTTTAAATGAACTCCAACAAAATATTTCCATCATAAACACAAAAATATTACATATTTTACACATTTTACATATTTTAGAGAAAGTTACATTGTATTTACACTGAACAAACATCATAACCTCATTCATAACCTATCATTACACAATTGCACGAGTCACGCGTAATGCGTGAATCATTGCCTGCGCGTTACACCTAAATTTGCTATAATTATAGGTTATGTATGAACATAGATACAAAAGACGGGTTGAATCAGATAATTGCACAAATTATGTATGATTGCAATGCTTGCACGAAACTGCGTATAAATTAAATCGTGTTTTTGTTGATATTTTGATCCAGATGGTCAAGAATCATAGTTTTTGTAAGCTATGATTAGCAGCAGTAGGCGCAATAAATATGTAAATGAGTAGTGCACGCATGAACATAGGAAACAAAAGATAGTGGACGAGTGAACGAGTTGGATCAGGGCATGATAATTCTAACGCAAATTGCGCAATTACATAATTATTGTGTGTTTTGGTATTCATGTCATTGAAATGTAATTAGATCATGGTTTAGTCATTTAATTTATGAGTTTACGATAAGCATCTGGTGTAGTGATAAGTTAATTTAATGTTTTTATTGTAATTTACGCTCGTGTATAAATAATTTTCATGTTATTAGTCATTTTATGAGTAAGGTTATTAAATTATTAAGTTGGATTTTTGTGGTTTGAATAAAATTCCCGAGTTTTCTTTCACAAAAATAATATATTAAGAATCAAGTGACTAAACTGGAGATTGATTGGATATTTAATCGAGTGTTTAACAACGTTTAGCCACGTGATTCATGCGCTATTTTTTCTGGTTCCACCGAATCCTCACGTTTATTTTTGTATTTGAATTTTTTATTTTTAATACAGGGAAATTTAAGGTTATAATTGCTTCACCCCATGACTAAAGCCCGTGACTAAAGTATTTTTGTCATAACTTTGGGTAGTCCATGTTTAAAGTATCACTTTTTGTGTCTAAAAACCGTGAAAAATTTAGCGCTTTAAGGTGGAAGTAAAAAAAAATAATATTCGTGTTATTCATCATATTATGAGTCAAGTTATTAAATTATTAATTTGGATTTTTGTGGTTTGAATGAAATTCCCATTTTTTGCTTTATTTAACAGAAAAAAATAAAAATAAAACTTTTTACACTTGATTTACATTTACGTTTAGATTTGCAAGGTGAAGGCAATGTGAAACCTTTCGATTTGTTGTCGATTACAGCAGCTTTCACTATTCACACATTTTCGCATGTAAGTGACATGTAATATATTTACACACTACGTTTCTCTGTAAACTTTGCAAGTTGGTCAATAATGGAATTTCGTACACAATCGCACGAAATATTTTCTCTGCAAACACTCTGTGATTGACATAAATACAAAGTAGTAGAGTTAAAATCATTTTTTTCATTTTCTTGAAAAATAAATTTCGGTTTTAAATATATTTTAAAATAGCTGGGTTGTAGTATTTGGGTTGTTCAAGTGGGAGCACAATCGGGGCGTTTATGGTGCGTAATATTTGCGGATGGATTAAACTTTTGAATAAAATCCAAATAAAATTACTTCCTCTCTGCTGATTGCGGAGATTCTGCCCGCCGCTCTTGTTCCTGTTTCTCCTGGCATGACGCACGTGCAAACCCTACAATCTGTGCGAGGACTACGGGGAATAAGGGTAGAAAATTCGGGTGTTTTCAGAACGAGCCGTCGAGCACGTGTTTCTAACTTTTTGAAGCTTTCAACTTAAAATAAAATAAAATAATTTAATATAAATTTATTTAAATAATGGTATTTTGAGTATCAAGCGGTTAAACATTTTTTTGTCACAAGATTGATGGAAAGCGAGCGTAGCGAGTGTTTAATCCACCCCCGTGACTAAAGTACTTTAGTCACGGCCTGTTCTGTGTTGTATGCGAAAGACGAAAAAAAATGTTTTTTACGTTTTCTCCGAAATTTTTCTTTAATTTTGTGATTGTTAACACAGTGTATTATTCCAACGTATCAAAAACTACCCTAACTTGAGTATGCCAATGCCAATGTCATTCGATTTCCGATTGGCACGCAGATTGCCCTCCTCGCATTTCTGATTCAGACGCACCGCATGAAGAAAGAAGATGAGAACGTGCTGGAACGTGGATGTGAATAATAAACGCAATAATAATACATGAAAATCACGAAAATCACCGCGGAATCAAATATCAACTCAATTTATATTCAGAACATGAAGTCGATTCGCTTGAATATCGAATCAAATCAAACCTGCTTACAATATCTCAATTACTCAATTATTTTGTATTAAAAAATCATAATTTACCAAAACTTTAAATTGCCAAGTATTACTTCTTCAATATTGATTTTCCAAGAGAATAAAAGACGCTGTAATGCTATAAACATCATTTGCGAAATTGAAACGTCTGCTTTTATGCGATGTCTATCGCCAAACAAACCAAACACCGTCGTCTTGAATTCTAGTTTCTACATTTATTTCTCCTTCAATACTTTCTATCTCTACCTGATACCAGATACCATGCGAATGTTCAAGAGAAAATAATAGAAAAGCTTTCGACTGCAATTTCTATTGTGCTTTGTGATACAATATAATAGCAAAAGTAAAAAACGTTACAAATATTTATTTGCTTTGCTCATATTTTTACATTAAAATATTCGTAGGGCTGCTGAATGTGGTCTTAAATTTGAATATGAATATCAATATGAATATATGAATATTACTTGCGAAGCAATCAGCAATAACCATGGCAGGTAATATAAATTGAATCCGTTTAGTATTCGCAGACGTTCACAGCTAGTGGAATCAAGGAAACGTCGATAATAGACATATTCAGAATTCAGAGATATTCACAAGGTCCTATCCCGAAATAATCGTTACAAGGGGTTGAAAAGTGTATTTTATTTCCGTTACTGTCACTTTCATGTCTAAAAAACTATATGCAACCACATATACGTATTTATATTGTACTTGTTATTTTTAACATAGGCAACTAAATACACATTTTAAAAAGAAATTTATTTATGTTTTTACGTTAATATGTATGCTTTTAAGTTAAAAATTATTTTTATTTGATAAATATTATATACAACCAAACATACTCATTTATATTTCTGTGCGATTCGTTCCTTTCTATCTCTTTTAGTTTACGAGATATTCGCAATTGAAATAATTTTTTCAGCACTTTCTCTTCCCCTTCCTTCTTTTCAAAAATGAGCAATTTCAGGAAAATTTAAAAACATGATGTGAAAAACACCCTGTATCTAGCGAATTAATTGACTTTCCTCGAGTTTCTTTACGCCAGAATAGAGATAAAGAGTTCCCCTATAAGATGCCTATCTTCCATCCTCTAAGCGTTTTTGTAAGTGCACTAAAATGCCCTTCAAATATGAGCAATTTTAAGAAAATTTGAAAACATGGTGTGGACAACAGCCTGTATCTATTGAACTAATTAATTTTCTTAAAATTTCTTCATACCAAAATAAATAAATTATCTATCAGGTTTTCGATTTAAAATTTAATCCAAATTAATAGTTCCATGCATACTTGTACTATGCATACGAGAACAATTCTATTCATGTTCTGTACTACCACACTGAAAGTGTCCGTGTTTACAAACAAACATGTTTTCTTATCTCGTGCAATTTTTGTGCGATCGCCACGCGGTTGGCTTGTGTATCACGCTAGTCTCATTTTGGTCGTCAGGTGATATTCACGCACATTTTCTTCATTATTCTTGAGTTGCTAAATGCTTCTTCGATTGTGCGCGAGTGATGTGCGGGGTTCGTACCACGCGGATTGTACATACTCAGAGGTAAGGCGTGAGTCGGCCGTCGTATTCTTTTGTATTATACGCGTATTTTATCGGTTCTACAATGTGCGTAATTAAGGTCCATACAACTTATTGGATATACCAAAACGCACAACTTTATTTTGCATCAAGGTAAGTTCTCGCATTTCTTCAGCCATTTAAAAATCAAATCCATTATTGACTTTACTTGTTTGCGCTTTTCCAATTGTTTTACATGATTCAAAATAAAATTCTGATTTGTGCTTTAATTTTTAATAGAGTCCGACCGAAACTGGATTTTAGCCGAAACCGAAATTTCGGCCCTGCAATCAGTTTCGGCCGAAACCGAAACTAATTTACATAAACATATTTTTCTACTTTTACCTACACATCGCCAGTTTTTCCACATTTTTTAGACACAAAATCCATTTTGGGAGTAAAGTCCCCGTTTAGTCACTTGATACTTAATATAATATTAATTTAAGTTTCTATGAGCGAACTGAGATGGCAAGTAATGACCGCCATTAGCCGCGAAGTTAGCCGAGCGACGCACGACAATTCACGAAAAGTGAGTTTCGGTGCGGCCGAAAGTTTCGGCCATATTTGGCCGAAACCGAAACTGAAGCCGAAACTCGAATTCTTGGCCGAAACTGGCCGAAACCGAAACCGAAATTTCGGTCGGTCTCTAATTTTAAATTTTGTTTTGGATTCCGAAAGTAAATTAAATTCTGAATGCAGTAACACAATTACATATTAAGGCCCTAAACACAAATTTTTGTATTAAATATGCAAATTGTCTCAAACTAATTGACATTGATATACCAATCATAAATTATAAAAGTAGGTATACAATACTGGTTTTGCTTAGTCGGTCGTGCGCGGTGATGTCGTGAGCACGT